CCCGTACACTACATCAGATTTTAATCAGATTGGGCGAGGGTGCAATAACTATCGAAGACATTGTAAGGCTAGGCGAAGCGGCTTTGACGAAGCGCACTAATTTACATACCTATTTCGATGTGCCTTACTTTGAAAGACTACGACATTCACACAAATTTGGAGAACAAATGACCCAGACAATATGAACCAATCAAATACCAGAATTATCAATGATTCATGAGCCAGAAAAATATGAACGGTTAGTAAATACAAAAACATACCAACAATTTGCAGGTCACGTGACATTATTAGTTACTATTACTTACATCATCTACGTATTCTGAGTCATGTATAGCATCGTTATTTTCAGGAACTATAAGTTTTGTGTGTCAAACAACTTGCAAATGTCAGTATCACGTGATAATTTTGTCAGAGTACGTCTTACAACTTGCTGCCTCGTTCGCAGTCAGTTATGCAAAAAATACTAAAGATGTCCTCTAAATATCTTTCTATTACACCACTGGATGAGAGATAAAGGTTTGATTTGAAACACCGCAAAATCCTGATAAAGTTGCATTCATTTGTTTGTATTTTCTGACCGTATACATCGGGAACTAACTTCGGAAGAGCCTAAAACTGCTAAAAGTCTGACAGAATACCACTCACACCATACACACACAAATGGTCTATTCATTCAATTTAGTGAGATGACTACATTATTCGATACCTATAAATCCCGGGTGGTATCTACAGCATCCAGTGTTATCTTGTTCGGTACCATAAAACAACATACAACGTCTGCAACGACTATTTGCCAGTGAGACCATCCGTCTTGTCAACATACCGTCAATCACTGGGTCGCGCCACACCTTCCACGTGTTGTGTTGATGGTACCGGTCTCTACAAGCTTCTTTGGGTGCCAAATCTACAATGGAATATCATTAGCAATAAGCGTTCTGTGTCATGTGAAATTTGAGCCCGAGTACGTCACCCATCTTGGACACATGATGTTCGTCCTCGTTCACATCTAGGCGTATAACATCATACATCACATCACCAATGTTAAAGTCATTTTATTTAATTTTTATTGCATAGTCATATTCACAGGTTTGTGAAGTTACGAGTTGTTAAACATTCGTATCGTAAGTTTTCCCCCATGAGTACATTCTACAATAATTTATCGGATTTACTGAAAGACCGAATTATCACTTGATTGTGAAATTCTTTTGTTGGAAAAAAACAAGTGAATTCAGTGAAGATATTAAGAATATTTCATAACGAAATGTATTCCGTTTGCATACCAATAATAATATCATAATTATCGATTAAATGTGAAATATAAAGACAAAACATAATTTGTTATTGTCTCGATATTTTTGCATTTCATTTGGTTGAATTATGACTGAAAGAAATTATAAAATATGTAGCGTGTTCAACAACTCATCTACGAACAATAGCTTTAATAAATATGATTTTACTTTTCTCCCTTAAAACGAAATAATTTCACAATCATGTCGAAAGTAAGGTGTAAAGTAGGTGCCAGACGTTGGTGTCACACTCACCTGGGGCATGAATACTTGTCTTCTTCAATCGCTGTGAAAACATAAATAATTCATATTATTCATCAAACTGCGATACGAGACAAAACATTTATATGTGATGTGGGCGGCGGGCGACTCGGGCATTGTTTTAGTGGTCCAGTATCCGAAGTATCTCCACGTACGATGAACGTGTTTCATGGTTTCTACTGAAATGTCAAATATTACACACATACATCGAGGTCGTTAAAGCGCAGTGGTCGTCGCGCTGTGCATGTGCGACATTCGTGTTGATAAACATTGATTTTCTCATAATCCAATGCACTTTTCAAATGGAAATCTCAAGTATGAGGTTTAACCTGGGCTCGTCTTGCACTGAATACCGCCAGTGACTCCTGCGATACCTTCCAATCACCTAAAAATTACCCAATTAAAGCTTGAAAACGTCTCAGTTTGTACTCGTTGATCTGAATCGTTAAAGTCGCCATCTTTGTTTATATGAGACCCATATAGCTCGCGCATGCGTAGCGCGATGACTACCGTCTTTTAAAGTTTCCAAGTGTTCTCGCCAGGGGATCAATACACTAATAACACACATATATATCCAATTGTATCTTATTCTCTGTTAGGCTAAATCGACCGTGCTCTCCTCTCTCCTCTTAAGTGACAGAGTGTTCGTTTATCTCAGATTAACATCGATATACAAACTTTCATAATGTTGACAGCGAGACATTCTCGGACACACTCGGTACTTTTTGATGGAAACTCGCTCAAACAGTAATCGGCAATAACGTTAGTAAATTTGGTAAGTAGAATCCATTGTCAAACTATAAAGGTCGTGATTGGTGGAAAGTATGTATTGAATCGAAGATACTGGGTGGGTGGTGGTTTCGTATTTGAAGACGTAATAAATGTAGAGGATTATTATACTATCTGATTGCAAGTTGATCTGAAATAAAGGAACACTCCTGGGTCAACTAATGCTATTTCATAAAACTATTGCATCTGGCTATTATATTCGCGTCTCCAACTCGTCAGTGTGTGTTCGATTTTCCTGTAAACAATTACACGCTTTGTATACGTTCAATGAGACACAATACACACAGGCTACAGTTATTATGTTTCCCATTCAATACTTACTCCGCCTTTCAGTTTAGCTGGCATATTTATATAGGCAGCAATTCGAATATTTGGAGTGTATATACCAAACTTTTTGTTAGCTCGTCTTCTTTTCTTGTTTTCTTTACGCTCGGAAACCGGTGACGTCACTAATTGGCATATGGGACAAGTCAGAATCGACGCTGTGACGTCTTAACAGGTCGGTACGATCACAACACGTGTCTTTATTCCCAATGATGGCGTAATCGTCCAACCTCGCGTTTTCATCGACGTCACTTTCGGAAATAACGTTAATATCCCTACATTCCGGAATGTTGTACAGTGATTCTATTGACGTGGCGTTGTGATTGGGACTTGCATCTTGGGGACATTCTTGTCTACTATTATCCGGTATTCCGTATAACTGTGCTATGGATGGAGAGCGTTGATGCTCAATATTATCCATACCATATAACTCATCAATTGACGTTGTTGAATCACAAATACGATTGTTCTGCTTACACCAGGGCCGTGATCGTGCTCTTTTTTGTTTGATTTTACTTTTTGGGTTCACAATCGCTGGGAAGTCAGCATCCATGTCAAATAAATATTTATCTTCATTACGTTCCCTGCTGTCACACTCCACGTTAGAATTCCGACCAGGACATTGGTATGGGAGGCGATTCGAGGCAATGTCAACAAAGTCATAACAAAATCCTTTTGACAGCGACCTAATGCAGTTCAGAAATACGTGGATCGCTTTGTTTTTATTTGTGTTTCCTTTTTCTGTTGATAGGAGTCCTAAAAAGTGGTTGATAGTAGGCGCTAAAAATGATATATTGCTGTCTACTTTTCTTGACTCCCTATCTGCCCAGAGAATGAGTTTTCGTCGAGGAATGTTCACGAACGTCTTTGCGGTACTCAAATCTAAGATAATTGAAAGTTGAGTGTTGGTAAGCAGTGGTCGTCAGCATAAACCCTGAAGATGAGTGTTGTTTTTAATAGCATAGATTGTTTATATGTTTCAATTGTTTTAGGGTGTTTGTTTGTTTGTTTGAAATCTTGTTTTGTTGGACTTTGCGCAACCAGGCTGTATTGTGTATGTTCCAAAGAAAATATCCGATACTGTAGTCTATAGAAAGACTGTGAATATCCTAAGTACTAACACCCTATTCAATATGTGAACCATTGAGATGGCGTGTGACGTCATTATACGGAGGTCACAAGGTCGCAAGAAATGTACTCTGTCTCAATATTAATTCTCCCTGCAGACTCTGGTAAAATAGAGAATACCCCACCCCACCTAGCCCAGTACCAAATGCATTGGCTGATCTGTAGAACACATGAGAATGATATGTAGAAATTTACGTGGGATTTCATTTCCTGTATGGTAGGTCCCCTGGTTTATCTGTTACATATACTAGAGGAGGTGGGGAGGGTGGTCTTTCATACTATGACCTACCTGAGCAACAGCATACTGCCTTAGCTAACTCATCACAATCACTCGCAGCGACAATACGATTCCTTATAAGGTTATCCAAGAAAAATCGGTACTCTGTTTGGAACATAGAACCATGGCTGAGACAAACTGTACTCAGTTCGTCGGTAACAGATCCTGCCATATTTCTACCTTTCCACGTTGTATGGACGACCGTGCAAGATAAACCAACAAAACCTAAGATAAGATGCTTCTCATATGCATACTGAATGTGGTATAACACAAGTTAACGAGTGGGGGTTACTGTGAGTGTGCATATAAACAGAAAAGTCCGTAGGACTGCACAGTAAATACTTTAAAAATGACTGACCCAGCAGGATTCACCCCATTCACGTTAGTACACGTACGCTAAGCTCACTCAATACATATATTATTATTGATATAGTGTGAATGCTTTGACGATTTCATAAGCAGAGTTTCTTTCCAGAACACTTTACGGTGAGTCATGCTTAGTTTATTTTTGTTCAGGTTTACATAGTATCTGGCGCATGCGCGTTGAAGACAGTATCCGCGTACGATCGCTTTCACAAGAGAATTGTGAGCCTCATTCCATGAGCGGATTTAGAGGGGGGCCGCGGCCCCTCCTATTTTTAACAACTAACAGTGCTTCGCGCCATCGGCGCTCGCGAACTTGGCCCCCTATTCCAGAATCCTAGATCCGCCCCTGCATTCCCAGACTGATTTTTACATATCATCGTCGTGGATGTTCTCACCACCTGTTGTTCTGAAAACTAAAGTTCCCTAAGCATGTAGTAAAGAGCATGTAAAGGGCGGTGATCGTCAAGTAATGTACCTCTGATAATATATATATAATAATGCATAATGTGGTTTATTCAATTCAATAACATTATAACGCATATTTCAAAGTTTACACGAGAACGATAGTTCGATTTAATTAATAATAGTCAGCCACGCTTTTTCTGTCGGCGGTGCGCTGTTCTGACATAATTCGTAGGTCTATAGTCGTAGGTCTTCACAGTCTCTTCCAGGACAAACACAGCTGATCGGAATTTGGGTGAGCTTGTAAGTACGCACTGCAGATTCATTGCCTGGGAATGAGACAGAGACAGTGTTATCTTCAGTAATTCATTCCTTATATCACATAGGTAAAATGGCAAATTACAGTAAATAACGGTATAGCGTGGCCGTTTCTTATACTGCTGAGATTTGCAGCGTACATACAATCATGATCAATAATCTTAAATACAATATAAGCAACTTGGGGACAGATGACGAAAAACTTACAAATATACTAAAAAGTAAAAATGACAAAACAATCATTGAACTAGGAAAATTCATCCACACTTGTTTCAAATTACGACAAGAAAAAATCTTAAAATGCCAGATGCCTCAATCAACCACCAAATAATTTAATTTTTTTTCTTCTTTTCAATTGTCTATGAATGCCTTGTTTTTTTTTGCTATCTTTTTGTATTACTTTATTGTATTTTCAACTAAGATCCAACTCCGGGATACGGTTTCAATAAAGATTATTATATAATTATAATTAATTACAATGTACACGCTATTTTGTTTTCTGTTGTTCATTTACAAGTATTTCGTCACGTAACTGGAAGAAGTATTTTGTTGTATTTATGACTGAACGATATAAATAACAAATAATTTATTCAAATTTCCACTCTGTTTTCATGACACATATAATTTACTCACCCATGCCGTTGGTTTTCCTGTCAGGGATACACTTATATGCTATCTCGCGCTGAGTGTAACCAGACGCTCTACAAGACGACGGACACGTAATATATTGATCAAGGCTCTGGCATTTTTTGTCATCAATGTGATTCGCAATATAGTCGAGTTTGCTAGCACAGCCTGGATAGAAAACAAAAGCAAAATGAAATTGGTTATATATATGTTTTTTTTTCTCTCTCAGAATAAAGAAATACACACGCTCTGTCGAGGTGGCTCTTATATGGCGTCAACATTATGTACATATGTAAAAACTATGTAGTTTGAAACGACAGTTATGATTGGCTGTGTCGTCGGTCGTCATGAAATACGTGGTAAATCTCTCAACTTATACTTTTTTTTTATTGACGGTCTACCACAGATCAAAGCAATAACAGCGTCTCTGACGCACATAACGTCACGATTGCGCTTCGTCGCGAGACGGTGCGACTTATAGCTACGAATTAAATTGGAAACATTGGAAGTGAAAACAATGTAGAACGACAACTGTGATTGGTTGTGTAATAATTCATCGTCAATATTTACTATAAACATATACCTCTCACACATTTAAGCGCACACAGTTAGAAATATACTTACTACAGCTAACACAGGGCCCTTCCTCTGTTGATGTGTCTTCTAGGCAGCCTTTCTTGGAGTTACCACACCACAGCTGATGTGTTCGGTACTGTATACCCTTGCCACATGGTAACTCGGAGTAGCATTCACTCCATTCTGTTGCCCCAATACTTACACAATCTGTGACGCACAAACAATAGATTAGATTAAGGAGGGCATATCTGAAGACAATCGTATATAAACATGTGTTATGTATCCCCGTAGCGTTAACTCCATATCCCACATTATAATAAGTACAGCCGAGGATAGGATGGCAGGTAATACACTAGTTATAAAGAGGGGAGGCAAGGGGGGGTAGCTGGTACGGTTTTACGGGAAATAAAAAGGGCTTTTTACAATTTACAAGAAAAAAAAAACGTTTTTACAGTTTACAGTGTTAAAAAATGGAACATTGAATGGTCCGAACAGCTCTCCGACTCCGCCATTACTGCGCCGTGTGTAGAGACGCATGCGCATATTACCCTCGTAATGCTCTTCATTCGGTTAGAGGGCCTTTTACGTCTTGACATTCAATTTTGTAATGAATTGTGTCATCTAGTCGTTTTACAGTTTTTAAAATGTAATTTCCCTGGATTATTTTTTACGATTTTTTTATTTGGATGTAAATTCTTGTACGTACCGAGGAAAATGACACATTTTTACGAAAAAATATTTGATTGATTACGTTGTACGTCTAGCCTGTGATTACAGAATTACGCTATGTATTTTTTCTATTTACGTTGTACGAACAAAAAAATATTGCAATTACGTTGAACGAAAATAACCCTTGCCCCGCCTCTATAAAAACTAACAATGTTTTTTTGTTATTTACCACCATGGCGTATCTTATTTCGGTGACAGTGTTTCACAAATAGTACTGTCCAAGTCTTCAACCACAATTGAAAAAAAAAACATGCGCGTGCGCCCGCATGACAGTCTCCACGTTAAAGAAATAGTCACGCTATTCTGCCCTTGGTTATAGTATTCAACTACCAATAAATTAAAAAAAAAAATAGTTAGACACACTCTTTTAGCAGACTATGTATATTTTTTTAAAATTCTCTGTGCATTACATTTCAACTATATTTTACTTAGGGCCCCCTAGGCTAGACTAGCTGGGTTCAAGGGTTCCCTAGACTAGACTAGCTGGAAGTTATTTTCCGATTCCTAATTACATCATCTTATTTTAACACCTAGCCTGGAATCCAAAAATAGCTTGGTGAATCGTTATGCAACTACGCAGTCACCACATATTTTGTATCATAACTGATTAGTTGTCTACATGTCTTCAGTACAGCACCATGGGAAGACAGACTGGTCTATATATAGGTATTGCCCGCAAATGCATGTAAGGGTAATGAGTCAATGCACACTCTTTGACGTATTTATGTGAAAAATACCTGTATCTTCATCATCCCGAATTATGGCAGAAAATGGCTTTGTTTGCAATGAGTCAACTTTTCCATCATCTGCTCCAAGCAACCTGAAAATACATCAGTAAGAAAATAGTACTGAAGGCTCGACTATTCGGCAATTATAAATTTATACCATATAACTTATTTGCACTTATGTGGGTGTCTGATTCGTCGCTTGATACTATATAACCTATAACCTTACACACAACGACCCAACTCCTCAAACTCGATATGTATTCATAACCCAGCTATAACGTGCAACATGATATTACTAACAATATTTGTAATCATAACCCAGCCATATCGTGTAATATATTACTAACAATATTTGTACAAATTTCAATCAGGGATTATGGGGATATGTTATACGGTATACTCACTGAAATTGCAATTGGTTGTCTTTACTTGGTAGGAAATATTGTAAATTGAACTTGCCATTCATTGTTTCTATACTAAAACACATTCCATTGGGGAGAAAACGATTGTCTATAGGTTGGCATTCCTATGAAATATAAACATCGGTATTTGTTGTACACCAAACGATTATCTAACATGTATTAAAACAGAGCACAGGAGGAAATGATTTGATTTTAATTTTTCGTGTCATCACGACAGAATATCGACTATTAGACACATCGTGTCGCATTGTGTTTGATGTGGGTGGCAAGCTACGTATACAACCACAGGGAGCCCAGGAACTATAATCAACTGTAATACGCAGTCTCTATGAGCGGGGGGGGGGGGTATCGGCTGGTATCTAGTGTAAGAAATAGACAAGGGATGAAGGCTCCAGCCAGCTCACATTTTTTAAACTCGAAAAAACAGACGAAAAGAATGAAAAATATAAAAAATACCAGGTTGAAGAATATTAGTTGCTTCTTCAAATTTCGCCAAAGCCCTACCTACATTTTACCGATATCTGCAGAATAAATCAAGGAAACTACACAAATTTACTCCATTT